TTCCTAATTAATTGCACATTGCCTAAGCGATTTAAATCGCTTAACATTGCTAACTATGTTGTTATGATATCATAACAACAGACGTATTTTCACAGGGTTGCCATATCTTGACTCTGTTTTGTCCCATCTTTACACTTCTATGTCTTTGACTACAGCCTATGACAGAATATTGTTTGTGTAGGTCTACGTCTTCGTATAGCCCCCATACAACGATACCCCCCGATATTTTCGCGACATTATTCACCGGAATTGTTTCACATTTGGTATTTGAAGTTCGATAGCACAGCCTATGACAGAAAATTGTCTGTGCAGGTCCACGTTTTAGTATAGCCCCCATATAATGGTACCTCCCTATATTCGGTACTTTGATGATTTTAGCGACATTATTCACCAGAAATGTTTCAAATTTGGTATTTGAAGTTCGTAATGGATACTACAGCCTTTGACAGAATATTGTCTGTGCAGGTCCACGTTTTGGTATAGCCCCCATATAATGGTACGTCCCTATATTCGGTATTTTGATGATTTAAGCTACATTATTCACCAACTTATTGTAATGGCTTATGACAAAAGTTGCCTATGCCGGTTCACGACGTCGTATAGATCCTAATATAATGGCTACATTCTAAATATTTAAGATTTTAACAGAATTTTTAAGGGATTTTTTTTTTTTTTTTTTTTTTTTTGAAAATTGCCAAATTCTTTCCAAATGGTGGAGGGTATTCAGAGATCGGCCCCGCCGAACTTTCAGCCTTTACTTGTTTTTTTTTGTGTTTATTTTTTTTAAATTTCGGTTAGTTATTTTTTTCTTTGAATGCTTGCATTTTAGGTATATTGTATCATTGGTAACAATGCGAGGATTTTTTTCCTAAATATTGTTAATTAAATATATATTTAAACGGTATCGTAGCAATTCAAACTTTTCTACAAAATTATTTGTTATAAAATTCCACTATAGGACCTAGAAGACGCCAAAAGTCAAAATCTTATCTAAATACCAGGGATTCATATATATCAGAGGCATATTTTAGGCTTAAGCCGTACTTTATGTGAGTTTGTGCAAAAATCTCCAACAAAGCTTAATTTGAGAAGGGTGACATCAGAGACACAAATATTCTTCATCAAATTTCACTATGAGTTTGTGAAGAAAAGAAATATGTATTTACCCTGCATATTAAAATAAAAAATTGCATCAATATTTCCCAATCATTTTGATCAATTTTTCCTTTAAGTAATTTAAGTAATCAGTAATTTTAATCAGTTATAAAATTATGGAAGTAAAAAAAAATAACTCGACCGGGCCGAACTTTCATTACCATCCAACATTAGGTAACATTTTTTTAAAATAAAAGTATCTGGATTCAAACTTGTTCCACTTTAATCTGCAAATACCAGTGAGATCGGTTGAAGATTTTAGTAATAGATAATATTGTGGCACCGGTTGAAGAACCCATTATGAACTACAAATACCGAATCGGAAATAAATCCAATAGAAAACGTGACCTAAATCGATAAAATACCAAATATCCGTATCGTACCGTCATATGGGTGCTATAGTAAAAGCTGGACCCATAGAGAAAATGTTCTGCCAGCGGAGTATGGACCTGTTACAAACTCTCGATACCAAATTTCGAACAATACCGTGGAAAAATGTGACAACTATGCGAAAACATTTTCAATAATGATTTTCTTACAGTTTTTGACACTGGTGTGCTTTGATAGTAAATCGTTTGTTTGTGGGAAAAATTCAGCAACAAGGATTTTTCAATTCAAATTCTCTGGATGGATGGTCATTCGTCTCTCCAGCCTTATCATACCTGTTTTTTCTTTCCCAACTCAACATATTCTTCAGGTTCAACCAAATATAAATTTTGTCTCTCTGTGAGCGTTTTTAACAAATCTGTTGCCCTCCGACATCGACATTCTTTTACTTTCCCTGCCCCTGTTTCTTTTTGTGATTTTTTGGATATGGCAGTTAAGATCAATATTCACTTACCTGACTTGTTTTTTGTGGCTGTCGCAGATAATGATACTGGATATTGAACACCGACCGGGTATATTGATATTCAGTGTGATGGTGGTTCTTTAATTAACATGGTTATTTCTTCACGAATGTTGTTGACCGGTTTGACTCTGACAAATTTTGAAATCATTCCTTAAAAAATCAAATATTTCGTAATTCGTATCTCAAAACAACAAACTTATTTTTAATATATACTCACCCTTGTTGTTCCTCGTCCTGATCCAACTACTTTTAAAGATCAATGTCGTTGAGGAGGAGTTATTTTTTTCACCAATCTCATTTACTGAACCGTTTAGGTTTAAGAAAGCTGACCTATGACAGGCCGTAAAAAACAGCAAACTTCTTCATCCGGATAATGTCGCCAATTTTTATAAAGGTACACTTTGTTTCTATTCGAAACACCATGTGTTTAGATAACCATCGACAATGTCTTCCCAATCAAACTGGATAACATCATTCCGGGCCAGTCTTCCTTTAAACAATCAAATTTTGCATTGAGAAAATGTTTTTGTTAATAAACATTATCCCATCAAATTTGTTTCAGATTCAACTGATTATAAAGTAAATCAGGTCCCACAAACTCGTTGAGGGCAATGGGATCAACTTTTTGACCTTATTTATTTTCCTCCAATGTTAAAGAGTGTTCAATTCAATTTTCATCACTAAATTAAACTTTACAAGGGTGTATTCCAAAAGCATCTGCAATTTATGTTCTTCAGGTTTTTAGTTCATCATTAGAGTATTGTAAATAGGGAAGCTTCAACCTGTATCCCTTTAATCGCCCAAAAATCAAACAATATATTTGGCATACAGTTAACGCCATGACTGCATTTGTCTTCTCAGGGCTGGGAACATTGCCACTCGAAAATTTATGACGAGAATCAGATATTCATTTTTTTAGAATCGAGAACTAAATAAATCACTCAATTCGTTGCAACAGCCGTCAACATTAGAAGGTTTGGTTTTTGCGTTGTTTTTATGTTTTTGTTAGTGAATCCCTTATAGGGTCAATCATATCAGTCCACTGTAATAGTTAGAAGTCATCTCCATATCTTTCCAATATTGCCGGTGATATGGCTGACTGCAACCCGTAAACCTGCTGGTCTTTTGGCCGAGAATCAGCCGAGCGATAGACAATTATTTCAAGGTAAAATAGCAACACCTTGGCAATTGGTTGCCGCATACTTCTGTCATTTCTATTCAACGATCAATGGCACAGTGGCAATAAAAGCGGTAATCACATCCACACACACTGGCGTGATTATCAGATTCAGGCCCAAACATATTCATCAACAGCTGATCTGTTTACTTTTCTGATCCGTATCTATCTACAATATATCCAACAAGGCGTAGAAGTTCTGTCAAATAGTTTTTGCGATTGGTGATGGTCTCGAAATATTTGCCCCAGGCCCATAATCCGTTTATTTAGCTTCATTTATAAGTGTTTCAACCTGTGTCAAAAATCTATTATTAAATTAGCTATCTTTTATATTCGTCATTAATACCACTTACCGTATTTCCTTTAAGGTGTTCCCGGCTTAAAATCCATCGGCTCCCTCGATCCGTTGCATGTCAAACGCATTTCCATTGAGCAGGCTGTTAGTGGACCCATTTCTTTGAATCTGAATATGCAAAATGCTGAAATATTTGGACTTTCTGGAACATCAATTACAGATGTTGGGTAAGTATAGGATAAAAAACAGCTAAAAAATACAGAAAAATTAAAATGTATTAAATTTTAGTACCGATGCCAAAAAACTCACCTTCAAATTTAACATCAATGTACCGGAATTTAAGTTGATCAGTGATTATGCGGTCAATGGGAATCTGCTGAGTTTGGCATTGAATAGCAAAGGCAAAGCTGAAATAATGATGGGTAAATTAGTGATTGTTATGTACAAAAAATGTATATATAAATTCCATTTTTCTTTTTCTTTCTTCAGAGAAAGCCCTCTTAAATTTGGCCATACGTGTGAAAATTCGTGAAAATGGCGATTTCAAATTTGGTCAACTGGAAAAACTCCATTTGGTTTGGGAAGATGTGGGCGGCATGCATTTACATTTGGATAATATTTTTAATGGTGATGCAACGCTGGAGGATAGTGCCCATGCTTTGATAAATGAAAATTGGCGTTCCATCTTCGAAGTATTGCGCCCGGCCCTGACACAAACCGTTGAGGTTATTATGAAAGATTTCTTGGGTAAAATTTTGAGTCATATACCGGTGACATATTTACTGGATGGATTGTAAATAAAAAAGGAGATATCCAAACCAAAAAAAAAAAATAAATTTTGAATACTGAAATTTTTTTGAAATATTCGGATTAATATTCCCTTGGAAACCTTAAATTTTAGGTAGGTATTTAGTGTCTTTAGCATATTACTGCTGACACTACGAGAACTATTTTGTTTGAACATTTGAAAAATGGTTAAAAACCCCATTTAAAAGGGATCCTTGGAAGTCAAAATATTAAAAATTTGTTGTCATAAAATTCTACTATAAGTCACAGATTACATCAAATCTATATCATAACCAGTAAGTAAAAGTCATGTGTCAGGCGGGGCCGAAGAAGTGATTCTCATCGAAGGTAGCAGTCAGCACGGCCTTAGAGCCTGGTAAAATAAAAATACAGTTTCCTCCTTTTTTCTGACAATAAATTCTCACTTACCTTACACTCCTATTGGAATTCCACTTTTGAATTTCTAAATAAAAAACTGTTACAGAATGGGGACTCAGGCTATGGTCTCCGCAGCCACACAGAGCAGCGCTGGAGGAGAGTGGAAAATGCGTTAATAAATTAAAATTGGTGTTCCTTTTTTGAAGTATTGCGCTCTGGCACAAACCTGCAAAAGTATGGTGCCGCTATACAAAAAGTGTTTCTCGTCCAAGGCAACAGCAAGACCCTTAAACAACGACCTGTGAATACGAAAATACAGTCTCTTTCTATCTTTCACACAATATTCTTTCTTACCTTAGACTCCTATTTTATCACCATTTTTGAATGTCTGAATACTGTTAATGGCGGCTCTTACTTAAAAAACGACAGCAAATAGCGCAGAACCTGCAGGCAAACACCAATGTAACAACGGCCTTGGAATACAATAGATAAAGGTTCCCTTCTTTCCTTTTCAAACAATAAATTCTCACATATCTTACATTCCCATTGGAATTCTTCTTTTAAACATCTAAATAGAATGCTGTTACAGAATGGCGGCAATCACTCAAAGAACAACAACTGAAATCGGCCGTTAAAAAGCAAACTGACGGCGGCGGCAAAAATCACAAAGCCAACAGCTGTCATGGACTCACATTCTCTCATCCGTTTTGCTAATGCCATTCTCTCTCTCTCTCACTTGCATCGACAAATCGAAATAATCGATTAGTCGCAACGATAAGTCCAAAGTCGACGTAGGCATCCCATCTCTTTACAGTTTTACAAAGTTTACAGCTGTTGTAGACGCCAAGCGCGATTTTTTATGCAAAAGCAACATAAAACAAAGTAAATATCATTAAAATTGTAGTAAATATTTTGGAAAATTATCTTTGTGTGTTTGTATTGTCAAAGGGCGATGGAGAAAAATGTTTTTATGCACGAAAAAATTCCTATTTAAAGAAATAATTCTCTGTGTAATGTGATGTGAAAATGAAGTGCAATAAAATGTAGAGATGAGCTGTGTAAAACATAATGCAAAAACAAGAAAAAATATCTACATACATAAATGTACCTAGCAAAAGAAAATAAAACAACGCCAAATAAAAGAAAATCAATTGTGAAAATTTACATAAAACCATGAAATAGAGGAATCGAATTGTTTTCAACGTGAAATAAATGCAAAAAATAAAATGTAATACCGTGAATGTGTTTTGCAAACAGCCAGGCAATAAAAGAAAATCGAAAAGCCAAAGAAATTGTTTCTGCAAATTCCCATCCATTTTTCTTTGCAGCAGCGCCATTTATTTTTGTGTTTTTTTTTTTACATTTTGCGGCAAGTTTCTGCTTTGCGATAACTGGTGGCTTGTTTGGATTTCGTGTCAAGCCGGAGTTTGATGTGAAAAATCTAGAAATTCGTAAAATGTGAAACATTAAAACTTACCCCAGCGAGTTTTTTAATTTTTAATTTAATTTTTTTTTATTTCATTCTTTCTTAACTCCATTATTCTTAAAAAATACCGTGTTCATGTCAATGTGTGTGTTGTGTGTGCTAGCTTTTCCAAATTTGTCCATTGTGAATTGCGTCTTACATTATTTTGGTGTTCGCTACCCCCACCACTCCAACAAAATCTCTTTACTTTAAGTTTATGTTTAGAAACGATCTTGTTTGTGTTGCGCTTTGGACAACAACATCAGCGCAGCAACAACAACAACACACGATCCAAGTCAAACATCATTGACATGTTATACCAGTTTTTCTTTTTATTTTGTACTACTTTTAACTTTGTGTTGAAAACAACAAACTCCATATGTCTAGGGGAGAGGAGAAGAAGAAGCAATGTTTGGTGTTTTTATGATTTACTTTTTGCATTGCACTCGTCGACCTCTCTCTCTCTGTCCACGACAATTCTAATTTGATTTTTTTTATAAATGACCCCCTCTGAGAGTTGTTGTGTTTTCTTGTTTTATTTATTTGTTTACCGTTATGGTTTGTTGTTGGTAAATTGTCTCTCAATTTTATGTGCAGCCGTAATGTACTGTTCAGTATGGCCAATGTTTTCTAATGGAAAAATCGCATTTTTTTGAAAATCGCTGTACATTTGAAAGAAACCTAACAAAATCGGTTTATAGGGTAAGGAATTAATGGTAGACGCTTAAGGATTTAAAATTACATTGTTGTTGAACAACCATATAGAAATTTGACGGTAGAAAGTAATACAAATGACGACAGAAAAATGCGAATGGAAGTTAAGACGGACAAGTCCAGAAAATCACGTACAGGGAATATTTTTTATATACCACTCTTTAATTCCATAACTACGAACTTAAATAAGTAGTTGCTATAAGAGTAGGTTAAATTTAGAAAAAATACCTCTTTCGCCTTGAGCTTAGGAGCTTTATTATCACAGGTAAGTTTTCTTTTAAAATTGAAAGTATGGAGGCAAAATCCATTTTTCAGTTCTATAGAATCGATTTATATTATATGGGTAGCAATAAGAAGCTTATGGTAATACCTAATACACTACAATAACTTAATATACAGGGTGAGATAAAAAAAACTGCAACAAAGTCAATCGCCATAATTTTAACTTTATTTACGGAAATAGTACCAAATTTTAGAATAAGATTAGATTTATTCGAATTGGTCACCTTTGGCACGAATTATGGCCTTCAAACGGCCAATGAAACCATCACACGTTGCCCGAATGTTGCTCTGCGGTATTTTGGCCTATTCCCGGCGAAGCGCTTGCTTGAGGTGATGTACACTTTGGTATTTTTTAGTGCCAACCTTGCTTTCCACAATACTCCAGACACAATAGTCCAACGGATTGGAATCCGGAGATTTTGGTGGCCATTGTGCGCTGGAAATGAAGCGAGGAACCTCATTTTGTAACCATTCTTGGGTGGCGCGTGCTGAGTGCGATGGTGCCTGGAGTCCTGTTGGAATGTCTAAGGTTTGCGGTCAAAATGCTTTCATGCCCGAGGCTTTAATACACCACACAATATTTCAGGATAATATTCGGCATTTATTCTGATGCCACGGTCGATTAATACGAGCGGAGAGCGACCATCGGCTGTTGTGGCGGGCCACACAATCACCATGGCCGGCGCTTGGGTTCTGGTGGCCAACCGAATGTGCACATTTTCAGCTGACCTCTTTGGCCAGTAAAGACGATCATTTTGTCTGTTCACAAACTGCTGGACAACGAATGTCTTCTCATCGGAGGGGAGAAGACCAAATTCGACAGTTCACCACTTTCGGCCAAGCGATGCAACTCTTTAGCTCTTTTGAGTCTATTTTCTTTATTGCCGTGTGGGTTCTTTCGGAATTTCAATGGCTTGGGGTAAGCTCATTTTTTCAATATTTACCGAATGAAATTTTGCAATATGTTCAACTCACGAGCCATTTCCCGGCCACTTTTTAAGTGGGAGCAAAATTCGTACAAAAAATATTCCCACCGGAATTTTTGTAATGACACCCAATTTAAAGCTGAAATTCTTATCACACACAATATTTTTCTTAACTTGATTCGGCGGGGGCTTAAGATTTTCCCTTCTTCGTATGTCCCACAACGATTTTTGAACCAAAGTTTTTGATTATTTGCATGCAACCGGCCTTCCAAAAGTTAGGAAGTAGAATTCTGTTAGTAACATTTATTTGAGAAAAGATGATTTATTCTATTAATATTTTCATTTCGTTCGTCTGTTCGTTTCAATTTTTATTTAAATCGAATCCCAAAAGAAAGTTATTAAAAATAACGATAACCCAAATAAAAAAACGCCAAACAGGCAACATTGAACGACAATGTTCTCTCACACTCTCTCTCTCTCTCTTTTTGCAATGTTTTGTTTTGATTTGTTGATAACTCCTTCGTATTATATTCCTGCCTGTTTTTCAGTTTTTTGCATTTTCTTTTATCCCCCTTTTATGGTTTATTATTGTTTTGTTGTACCTTTTTGGCAAAGGCTATGCACGTACACACAATGTAGTTACGTGTGTATATACATTGCCATGAACATGCACACACATCGCCAAAATATATACACAGAAGAAAATGGCAAACATGGCTGGCGTCTCGTCGTTGGTTTGCAGCTGTTGTGTTGTTATGGTTTGGTTTGGTTTGTGTGTTTTTTGTTTGTTGTTCTTTTATGTTGTCTCTCGACCTCTTCCTCACGCTCTCCTTGTTCTCTTTATGTGTATTATTGGTGCTATGTACATATTGCATTTACCTTGCACAATGCCTACATTGTATGTGTACCTGTAGGATTTATTGAATAAAGTAGTAGCAGCGACGGTGCTGGCTGCGGTGATCATCATCATCGGCGGGCAATAAGTATCGAATTGTCTTGTTCTGGCTGACAGACAAACAATTATCCGTGTAGCAAGTCAATGGTGTTTAAGAAATTCTAAAGAACACTACCTAACTTGTTCGATCAGAAATATGTATAAGTGAAGAAAACAATACATAGTCAGCTATATAAAGGATATGCACTGAAGGATGTGTACCTCGGTGTACAAAGTATCAAAAAGAGGAGATGGAAAACATAAACAACAGCTGTCGTTTGGACGAGAAAAAATGTTGCGTGTTATAAGATATCACCTGACGTTCCAGTTTAACCATTGTGTGTGTTGTTTGTAAGGTTTTGCAAGTTGTGGCCATCGCATAGAACATAACACCAAGAGTATAGGGATTTGTTTTCGAAATCGGTGGCTGTTGTAAAATTAATGAAATTTTTCAATTTTAACTTTTTTGAAGAGTTCAGCCAGGAAAACATGGGCACTAGTTCACAGCTCAAGGTCAGTGCTATCCACGAAATGCTAGGTCAAAAAATACTGCCTTATTGTGAATTATTTACAAATTTGTTTTGAAAAATTATAGGATAGGGTAAGTGCCCTGGGCTTAACTCTAGTTTAATAAAAACTCTTTCATTTTTTCGAAGGTCCAACAACGGTTACGCGAAATAAACCTTTTTTTACTGAAAACATTATTTTAATAAACTGGTTAGAATCGGGTAATGCGGATGGAAAGACCCATATCTCTGGACCCGAGAAAGGTATTAGCATAAATTGTAGCATTTTGGAAAGGTAAGAGAGCCAGCTATAATTTGCCATTAATTTTGTTGACCCCCATAATAGGTTCTTTCTGAACTTTTTGGGGGTTTTATAAAAAATCCGGGTCCAAAAAATAATAATTTTTGATAATTTTACTATAACCCATCATGTGACCACTTGTTGGATAGGTATTTTCATAAGCTTTCCAACGATACTATATTGTCTATATGGGGTAATAGGGGCCGTGTCCAGGACAGGTCTTGAACCCGGATTTTCTGGTCAAAAATCTGGGGTCAAGAAAAAAATAGTTTCCCGGAATCAGGTTAAAAATACCTACCTCTGGAAAAAATTTCGAAAAAAACAAAGAGTTTTTACTAAACTAGAGTTGTTCCTTAAAAAATAGATTTGTTCGATTTGGTGGATGTGCGGTGATCGACACTTTAGTATTTTTTAGTTCCAACCTTGCTTTCCAAAATACTCCAGACACAATTCGTATTGGGAATTTTTCGTGGCCATTGTGCACTGGAAATAAACGAGGAACCCTCTTTTTTGTAACTATTCTTGGGTGGCGCGTGCTGAGTGCGATGGTGCTGAGTCCTGTTGGAATGTCCGAGGTCTGCGGCCAAATTTTTTGCGTGCCCAAGGCTTTAATACACCCTCCAAAACATTTCGCGATAATATTCTGCATTTATTCTGATGCCATGTTCGATTAATACGAACGGATAGCGCCCTTTGGCTGTTATGGCGGCCCACACAATCACCATGGCCGGCGCTTAATTTCTGGTGGCCAACC